ATTTGACGGCAGGGAGTGATAGACACGAGGAATAAGCGTTGGCAAGAAGAGCGGCGAAAAACACGCCAGCGTCCCCTCTAGCCAACAAACAAAGTGAGCAGGAATCAGGAGGTTTTGAAAGAAAGCTTTAAACTTAAAGGGCCCATGTCATGCTTTTCCGGTTATTACCGGTCCCCTTGTGTGTTATGAAGGTTTTTATGCATGTAATGTAAACGGTCTGCAGAGTCAAAAACCCTCAAAGTACACCCTGAAGCGAGTAATGCTCTAACACAGTCTATGCTGCCCCAAAACGCCTCGTTGGAGATTTCTGATTTTCCATTGTTTACTTCCTGGGTACTGTGACATGGGAATACCCAGAGGCCACACCCTCTGCCAGCATTTCACGAAACAAAGCTTCACAAACCTTTCAGCGATTCATGCCGGATATGTACAGCGTAGGGCACTGAAGAACGATGCTGTTCCTACTTCGTTTGGACCAAACAGGGTATCCTACCACGACTGTTTGAATGTGTNAACGTTTTTCGGGCTGCTAAGTTGGGATCGCGGAGAAATGCTCTCCGCAGACCCATTCTCACAGCATTATAAACCTTTTTCTTACTCAATATCAAGCCACACTTATTGTTTTTACTTCGGCAGTGAGTGTTTGTGTGTGCTCAGGATGAGTTTCGCTTGTTCTCGCTGTATCGCCGACCCGGAAGCCTGTCCGCTCCTCGCAGCAACGAGCCTCCCAACTTCCCGACCAATCAGAGCACACTGGGCTCACAGGGAGGGGGGGGAGCAGTAGCTCCAACAAGCCGTTTAGGACAGAGAGTGAATACCGTTGAATACACATACAGAGATGCTGTATGAGAAACCAATGTGAGTTTGGAAAATTGCACTGTATAAATTAGGGGTGTAACGGTACACGTACCCGTACCGAAATTATTCGGTACGGGCCCTTCGGTTCGGTACACGTGTGTACCGAAGTGTACCGAACGAATATAACGTTAAACGTTAAACGTAAAAAATTGAGAACGTGAACAACTTTTTGGAAGTAATCTCAGGTGCTGCGTCGCAGCATTCAGAGTAATTTGCTCACATTGGGTTCAACGCGTCATAGAGCGACCAAGTCATTTCATTGGACGAGAGGCATACTATGAGAGCTGGTCAGAGGGATGCGTTCAAATGTAGTCAGTAATTTGAGGAACTGTCGAAATGGCGAACGCAGATAAAGTTGAGCTCGAAAATCCTCCAGCATCATTGAAGTCTCCGGTTTGGGAACATTTTGATTTTGCAGTTACGTACAAGGATGAAGGACAAAGACAGGTGGACCGAACCAAAGCTGTTTGTCGGCATTGTTCAACTAAAATAGGTTACGCGGCTGGCAATACATCAAACTTCCACACTCATTTGAAAAGGCATCACCCGAACGTGAATATCACCGGTACCGAAAGAAAAAAGACTGAAGTGCAAATCCAACTCCCACTAGCATTTAAGCCTCCACCACTCGCAAAAAGTTCAGACCGAGCGAAAGTTATTACAAACGCCAAATATCCTATGTTGTCATGTTAGCAAAGCGCTACCTGGATGTATCTGCTACCTCTGTAACTAGCGAGAAGGTGTTCTCCACAGCAGGAGACATTGTTAGTGCCAGCAGATCTGCCCTTTCGGCAAGCAATGTGGACAAGTTCATTTTTCTTTAAAAAAACATGAAAATACAATGACAAGCAAGTCATAATGTCAAACTGGCTGCTTAGGTACTAGTACAGTACAGTTCAACAGTACAGTTCCACCTTAATGTTTATTTTATTATATTTTGTATTTATTTGAGTGAATATTCACAGTTTAATAATAATTAAAAACCCAAAACTAATAGTTTACGTTTTGTGAGTACTAGTACAGTAAAGTTCAAATACAGATTATTTCAGTTCATCGAAATGCTGCACCTTAATGTTTATTTTATTTTGTATTTATTTGAGTGAATACATTGTTCACAGTTTAATAATAATTTAAAAAACCCAAACAATGTTTTATGTTTTGTGATAATTTGTTCTGCTGTACCGAAAACGTACCGAACCGAACCGTGACCTAAAAACCGAGGTACGTACCGAACCGTTTGTGAACCGTTACACCCCTAGTATAAATCTATTTTAGTATACCTCAACAATGGAATTATGATCAGTAGAAATGGCCATGACATGGGACCTTTAAGCATTAATAATAATCTCTGAATTGAGGCAAATTTACTATTTCAGTCCTCATAAAGAGCTTGTATTTTATTCATTAAAACATCTCTCATTAACTTCCTGCAGGGGTTATGTCTGATAAATGCTGAATGTTCTAGTAGTTATGAGGAAGTCTGCACAGTCAATCGAGTATTCTCCTCAGGAATGCTGTGAATAAATGAGGAGGAGAGAGTGTGCTTTAGTCGAGCCCCTTCTGGACTTTTTAATGTGTCCATTAGAAAAGTCCAGAAATTGCATTGTGTAGTTCTGCACCCTGAGTGCCGCTAATAGACTGAAAAATGGAGGTGCCATTCTGTCATGCCTATGGATAGAATTACTTTAACATTTCTGTCAGGCGGGAACCTTTACCTCTGGCATTCATGCCTTAAAAAAAAATCCACTGCGTTGTTCTTTCACATACCAGAGGCTGCATATAGAAACCGCTATAATACATGACAGCAAAATGTAATTCAAACCATCAATACACATGGCATAATACACATCATATTAGCAGTCTTGTCGAATAAAGTATTCATTTTCTGATCAAAACAGAACATTAGTATGCAGAGATCATTATGGCAGGTATGAGTAGTTGGTCTGCAATTGATTTAAGCCGCTTATGAACTTGTGATTACCCATGCTGGGACTCATTCCAGTCATATATGTCACATTAGCATAACAAGCAGGAGAAACCTAAGCAGTAACTATTTGCCTTATTGCCAGTTGGGTGTAAAATGTGCAACATTTACTGTAGTACAGTTTATTACTATCGCATAAAACAGTTTTAATACCTGTGTTTCAGCTGATCAGCCTATTCTATCAGTGTGTTGGAGTGTGTAGCAAGAGAGAGGTGACTGGGGGAGGGATGTTGCAAAGGGGAGTAACACCAGGGGGAAGGGGATGGGAGAGCAGCTGAATATCATTAGAGGCATTTCCATTCTCGTCATACTACCATATTGAATTTTTCTGAAAGGGTGTCTTTTATTGTCCTCTTCATCCTTTGGGCAGATTTGTTTACCAAGGAGCTGCTGATTTCATGTAATGCTAGTGCAACATTATGTTTTAAGTCACTTGCATTTCACAAGGAGAGGGCTTCTAAAGTTGAGGCCCGGAAATAGAGGCAGGGATTGACGACGCAAAAGGCAATTGTAAGGCTTTGAACCTGTTTCTCTGACCTTGATCCTTTACAGATCAAGGTGAAACAATTATGTTTTTCCACCTCCCCTTTTGCCATGTTTTCTTTTCGCAGATGATCCTCTATTTATCAGGGACTGATTGAACAGTTCTTCAGATGGTGGATGCACACGAGGATGGCCATGAAAGTGCAGATTGCTTCCAACAGGTGCTGCATTTAATGCTTGGTGTCCCTAAGTGCCTTGGAAAATAATGATGCACCAGGCACTCAGCTAAAACATCATAAGGACCACTGGCTCTTTGAGGCCATCTCAAACATACACATGTACATATGAGCACTCAATTGATCTCTGCCGAGAGGTCAGAGTGCAGATTCAGCTTCAGGAGCTGAAATCATCAGTGTCTTGTTGAAGTATGCTGTAACAAGTTGGGCTTTCACAGGAATTGAACCCTGGCCAACTGATTAAGAAATGTGATTGAAGCTAACCAGCAATAGCGACGATGAAATAATCATCAAATTAACTTTACAATTCTGTCACTTGTCTTGCTCATTTTGCATTGAAATGAAAGAAGTAACTATAAAAGATTTCAGGAAATCTAATCTACAAAATTCAAAGTTAAATGGATTTAAATTCAACTATTGTTGAAATTATCTTTGGAAATTATTAATGTAGTATATTTCTTTATATACATCTACAGTATAGCATGTATTTTTGCAATGACTCGAGAGATTTGCCAGAATCCTTTATGTATTTTATTATTTCTGAATGTATTGATTTTCTATATCATTATATTTTCGACTTGGTTGAGAGTGGGTTCTTTTTTGTTGTTAATGGAGAGAAAAAACAAAGTATAATATGACAACATTTAAACATTTAAAGTACATTTTGGGGTCAAAATACTTGTATGTGCACGGTGTCATCATATAGACACTTACATGAAGAATATCTCCTCATTAGAAAAAACAATGGTTATCATTAATTGTACGCAATGAATACATGAAATATTGAGGCTTGTGCATGTTCATAGTACTGGATATTTCGATATTTCACCAAAATGCAACATCGATCACATCACTTCCGGGTTACGGCACCGGAAACACTTCTCGTTGCAGAAAGGCGGATCCCTCTCGGCCACTTTGCCTTTCGGAACTTCTTTTGAGACTATTTTACCTGCCATTCCTTGGCAGGTCAAGCTAAATCCAACAAAAATTACTTACTGAAGTATTAAAACGACATTTTATTCAGTCGAGTTCCACGACCGTACTCACCGCGACGACAGGGAGAGTTTCCAGCTACAACGTTAGCTAGCTAACTTTTAACGCACTAGCATATAACTTGACAACTGCCCTGCAGCATAACAGAGAAGGAACAACACCGAAGCACAGGAAGATGGCAGATAAAGACTTGATGTGGGCATTGAAGACCGGGGACATGGATGAAGTGGAATCCAAACTGGTAACGGTAAGACAGCTTTGATCTGAGTGTTTTTCAGTGGATTGTGTGCAACACTTTTCAGGCAAGTGGTTGCTTAGCAAAGGTAACGGACGTCAGTTAGCCCACTGGCTAGCTAGCTAGCTAACGTGAGCTATAGTTGGGTAATGTTAAGTTAGGTAATACAACATAGACAAGCGCTTGGTCTTGATACTGAGCTAGAATTCTTTTCGAAACATTTTAAGGCTGCTGTAACACTTTTGCATAGACTTAACATAACGTTCCAAGTCTGAACGCCGTGTTAGCATTGTTAGCGACACATAGGATATTTTTACCTGGAGAATAGGGAATGGGTCATATGCTATAGCACCAATCACATACATGCAGTCACTAACGATGTATGTAAATGTGCTGTGATGTCTAAATCGGTTAGAAAATGTTGTGTTTTCACTTCCTACAGAAAGCAACCTGTTGGTAAGCTAACAGTTAACCAACAGCAGCATCAAATATAACGTGGAACATATTGAAGAAAGACAATTAACTGCTATGTATATTGCAATGTCAATACATGCGTCATTGGGCCATTTTTATTATTGTCGGTAAAATAGATCCCTTCACATATGATTAGGATGTGCATAAGATTAGCTTATTGCTAGCGAGCTAACTACTACCGGGCCCTTGCATCAGTAGTGACAAGCTAACGTTGGTGGGCGGGGGTATCCGCTGTTGCAAAGGAGTAGAGGGTCCACCACGTTATCTAGAACAATCTGTTTAGAAGATCATTGCCCCCAATAAGTGCCTGTGTGTCCAAACTGATTTCCCTATATATCAGAAACTCCTGCTTCTGTAGTTGGAACACATTTGGTTCTTTAAGATACCCACGTTTACTTTCCACCACCATGGTCCTGCAGCTCTGTGAAGCAGTGTGATATATAAAGATCTCTGTCTTATTGTGTACTTGTCTCTGCTTGAGCAGACCATTTTTGCTTTGATAAACAGTCCTACATTAAGTTAATTGTGAATGTTGTCTTAATATGGGTTTGTAGTTAATAACATACAATTACAAATACTAATATCTGTTTTCTTCTGCGGTGTTAACATTTGCAACTTTTCTTTTCAAGTTTCAGAATTTGAGTATGGACTAGGTAGAGAAGTATTGTTTTTTGTGAAATCCCTTGCTTACAAAAATGTGTTTTTAGGTGCCTTTTTAAAGGCGTCAACAGAGACAGATTGTCTATAGGAAATGCCTTTAAGTCGGAAACTGCCGGAACTGACTGCTACAGTACAGCCATGACTGATAAGCGTGGTTAGTGTGGTGAGTGAGCAAGGAAGGGTGGTGGTGTGTATGGTTTTCCTCTTGGCTGTAAGGCTGGCAGTCTGGGGTATAACGGTACCACAACCGGGAAATGAAGGGCGGAGGACGGTGCATGTAATCGTTTGTTTATGAATTTCAGTTTGTGCTTATATCAACATTGAAGGGTTTCATTTCCGGGTAATTTGATGTCCCTTTTAATGCATACCATAGCTTGTTACAGCTCTGAGTTTATGTTTGTTAGCTTGTTAATCTGTTGTCTTTCTCTTTTTCAGGCTGAAGATGTAAACCGGACCCTGGATGGTGGGAGGAGGCCTCTGCACTATGCTGCAGACTTTGGTCAGACGGATGTTGTGGCATACCTAATTTCTAAGGGAGCCGACGTTAATGTAAGAGCCCGAAACAACAGCTCCCATCGCATTAGTTTGCATTAATTTGTGTGTTGTTCATAGTTGCAAATACCACAAATAATAAGTGCCCTCATCTGCTTCCCTTTTATAGCCTTGTTCAAACATACTGATAATGATCACACCAAATAAAGCAGTTACGTAAAAAAGGCTCAAAGTAGTCTGGCTGTTGAAACCAGTTCATCATGTATGTCAGTCATTGTCCATTCTCTCATTCAACAACTGTCTAGGCTCTCACACCTCACATTTACCTTCAGAGGCCCCCTGAGGTCAAGTAGTTTATTCTGGCGTTGTAATAAAAAGGCATTTACCATTCCAACAGTTTTGACATCCGTAATTCCAATGGAGCTCTTTTGTTATTTGCAAGGTCTCCTCAGCCTGTTCAGTATTCAGTAAAATTCCATGTGAAAAATACTTACAGAACAGTACACTTTTAGCCTTGGCCGGTAGCTTTGTTTTGAGTGTGAAACCAACTTTGATTAAATACTTTTGAGAATGTTTTTTCCTAGACCTAGATGGTTATTTGAAGATAAGCAGTGTTCTGTAGAGTTGTTAGGATAATTCTTGATGCTTAAAGTACCTACATTAGCTAGGCGAAATTGGATACAACAACTCCACATCATAGCATCCACTGGTCCGGTCTTCACAAACTGTAGGGTTTAATCTTGTAAAAACATAAAGTATATGCCTTTCCTACCTAGAACGAAATGTTTGTGCATTTCTCTATTTCTCTTGAAAACCAGCGCAGCTTCTGAAACATAGAAGATAAAAATAGTATTGAAGTACAGTGTGCTCTCATTCAATTTCTGAAAATAACAAGAGACTGTGAGAAGTAAGGCCCTTTTCATAGGAGTTATTTTCTTTTACATTTGTGAAAGAGAGAGTGCTTGTGTAGGAGGATTGCGTTTGCGCTCTTGATCTGCTCATACATTACCTTCTCCAAAGAAATGTCTGTCTCCCACTTAAGCCTTTCCACCTGCTCCGTCCACAGGCTCCAGACAAACACGGGCTCACTCCACTGATCTCCGCCTGTTACGAGGGTCACGCCTCCTGTGTCAAGGTTCTGCTAGAAAAGGTTGGTACTGAGATTTATCCTTCACCTGCACACAGAAGTACCCGGGTGTCCTTCACCCCTCAGTGCTTGTTGATGTACCATAGGCCGTATGAGTGCCGATGAGGTAACTCACTGGACAAAAGGCTCTTTAACACAGCCCTGCGGAGGCTGTGCTGGAATGTTCATAGAGCATGACACAGTATTGCTGCTGTTCACTTGTTTTGTGTCTGTTTTTAGGCAGATTTGTTCATAGGTACACAGCCCTTTGCTCCATCTAAATCTCAGCTCTGGAACTATCTTAGATGCTACAAATAGTCACATTGTGCCTACACAGTCACAGCTGTAAAAAGAGACAATGAGCCAGGCAAAGCTGACATAAGCTTTAGAAATGCAACCAAATACCAAGCATACTGTTATGAAACTATACAAACGATGTCTGCACCTCCATCAAAGTCAGATTGAAAGTCCTATTTTTAGCTCTCTGCAGTAAAGTCTCTTTAACACCTTCCCTTAATATTTGACTTATAAGTGCATGCACTCAATTACATATAAATGACTGAACGTCTACTCATCTAGGCTGGTGAAATTCTGTTTCACCATAGCAGAAATGAGCCAGACTGCAGTGGGGTTGATGCTCGTGCGGACAATGAATGTCACACGTATGTGGGCCACAATAGCTACTTTTCTTTCAAGACCTCCTTCAGTTCTTCGTCTTTAGTACTCCTCTGTCATTTAGCATTTGCGTTTTGTTTAAAATAATATCCTTATTCAATATCATTATTCTTTTTATAGCTGCAGCTTTGCCCACAAAACCTGTCAACTTGATGCTGCAAATCATTTCAACACAAAATAATGAGGCTTTAGCAGTAAACACTGGACAGCTTAAAAAAAATATTACATTTTTCAAACTAGTCTAAAATGTTGGTCAGTTTTAGTATATTGCTCGAATCAAAGGTAATGGCTCATTCTCAGCACCACTATGAGAGAGAAGCCTACATCTAAGAGGACTGCATGATGTCATGTAGACGGCTCGCACCCATTTACAGTCAAAGTCTGCCGCGGACAGATATGTGTTATGACAAGGAGAGATAAATATTCCAAGGCTGAGGGACAGTAAGCAGCTGTCTGTTCCCAGCCAGGCTAAATGAAGCAGGGTAAATGAAAGCTCCTCCACTGAGTTGTTTCACGGTGAAATCATCTTCAAGAGTAATGGTATGAAAGAAGGGGGCATTCACAAGCGGAGTCGATTAGGGAAGTCATTTATTGCATTCAAAACAATGACACATGCAAACTTCAGACAGACTTTCAATCAGTTCTCATTTTCAACTGCACTTTGACGTTTGAAAAGAGGAAACCGTAATCTATATGAGTAACACTGGTGTTTGCTTAGAGAGACACTTTCAAACTCTACTACATTACATGTCATTCGTTACTACTTACTTATTCCTGTTGGCATAGGCTGTATTAATTCCCCATTTTCATCAACACATCCACGGCCCCCTTACATCAGCAAGCCAGCGGAGTCTTGCGAGCAAGCGTCCAGCAGCTGGCTACCGCTGTCAGCTGGCTGCCGCTGTCAGCTGGCTGTCAGTGCTGTTGGCCCAAAGATAAACCGAAAGTAGCTGCCAACAGGATGAAAAAAGCGTTTTTACTACCAAGTTAATCATTTTCTATAAAAGATGCCAGGGTAATGCGAGTTAGCACGGGCAGGTTGTTCTGACTTTTACTCGACACAGAACTGTGTTTTGTATTGTGGGCTATAACCTTTATTAACTGGCATTATTGTTGTGGAAACAAAGTTAAATGATCTTGGTCATCTATTTTGGTGAGACCTTTTCTTAGGGGTAGGTCTGCTAAGAATGAGGAAGTGCAGGATGTACAGTGGGGCAAACAAGTATTTAGTCAGCCACCAATTGTGCAAGTTCTCCCACTTAAAAAGATGAGAGGCCTGTAATTTTCATCCTAGGTATACCTCAACTATGAGAGACAAAATGAGAAAAAAAATCCAGAAAATCACATTGTCTGATTTTTAAAGAATTTATTTGCAAATTATGGTGGAANTGACCATATGACATTCTCCCAATCCTCTTCTGGATCATCTAAATGCTCTCTAGCAAACTTCAGACGGGCCTGGACATGTACTGGCTTAAGCAGGGGGACACGTCTGGCACTGCAGGATTTGAGTCCCTGGCGGCGTAGTGTGTTACTGATGGTAGCCTTTGTTACTTTGGTCCCAGCTCTCTGCAGGTCATTGACTAGGTCCCCCCCCGTGTGGTTCTGGGATTTTTGCTCACCGTTCTTGTGATCATTTTGACCCCACGGGGTGAGATCTTGCGTGGAGGCCCAGATCGAGGGAGATTATCAGTGGTCTTGTATGTCTTCCATTTTCTAATAATTGCTCCCACAGTTGATTTCTTCACACCAAGCTGCTTATCTATTGCAGATTCAGTCTTCCCAGCCTGGTGCAGGTCTACAATTTTGTTTCTGGTGTCCTTTGACAGCTCTTTGGTCTTGGCCATAGTGGAGTTTGGAGTTTGACTGTTTGAGGTTGTGGACAGGTGTCTTTTATACTGATAACGAGTTCAAACAGGTGCCATTAATACAGTTAACAAGTGGAGTACAGAGGAGGCTCTTAAAGAAGAAGTTACAGGTCTGTGAGAGCCAGAAATCTTGTTGACCAAATGTAGGTAAATTGTAGGTGACCAAATACTTATTTTCCACCATAATTTGCAAATAAATTCTTTAAAAATCAGACAATGTGATTTTCTGGATTTTTTTTCCTGAGACTGCCAAGGCACACANTTTAAATTCGTTAGCATAGCTAGCTAACCAGATGCTAATAACAACAGATCACATGCCGCAGTGTTTGCGAGGCTGTGTCTTTAGTTGTAAGCACAGTGGCGATCTGTTGTTATTAGCATCTGGTTAGCTAGCTATGCTAACGAATTTAAAGCGCTTTTCTACAACCAGGTGGAAGAGAGCTCTCTCCTGAGATGCTCAAATAACCTCAGCTCAGTGAGGTTAAGGCACACCTTTATATGATCATTATAGTTATTAATGAGACATTAGAGACTCAATTATTAACAGGTATAAAATACTATATGACAGTAACAAAAAAAAGTTGTTAAAAATAACAAGAATAGAGTTTGAAAGGGGAGTGATTTGTAAAATATCCACAAAAGAAATCTGTCATTGTCAGATGGTATATTACGCTGTTTTTTTTCTGCTTCGAATAGTTCTCTCTTTTTTCACCATACCTGTGTTTGCATCACTGTAAGTGGGAGAACTTGCACAATTGGTGGCTGACGAAATACTTTTTTGCCCCACTGTATATGATTTGGAACAAAGGCCAGCATACTGTGCCTTTCACATGAAGTCTTCCTTGACGGGAGTCATTTTCGATTATTTCCCCAGCTACCAGTCAAATATCCACATCCTTATGAAAGCCAGAAGCTTTCTACATCTGAAATGAGCAGCTATGTAATTACAACCTCTGAATCGAAATGAAAGCCCCTTGGGTGGACCTTTTTTATAAAAAATAAAAAAAAGAGCCTTTGTCTGTGGTATCATATGAGACAGGCAGCTCATCTGAACAGGGATTACGGGGGATGCTGAGATAAAAGTGCAGCCACTGGCTCACTCCTCATGGCTTCGTACTCATCCCCACTAAGCGCAAATGGGGATTAAAACCCAGATGCAGCCAAAGGTCACCAGTCACCACAGGGACCAGATCTCAATACATCTACTCCTGGCGGCTCTGAAAACCCACCATGTGTCTTAACATGAGATGAATAGATTGTCCCACAGCCGCCCCATTGACCATGCTGCTGTATACCCACTCTGTCTGGCAACACAGTAGCCCCACAGCCTCCACAATACAGTGGATAAAGAGAACCCACTGAGAACACTGAGTTGTCACTATTCAGCTGTCAGACAGTCTTGAGTTTGCTGACAAAATGGCTTGGTTCCCTGGTGCATCATGGTAGCTGCCCTCCCTTACTGCGTGCTGTGCTGTTGTTGGCAATGAATAATAAAATGCCATTTTAACCCCAATAAGTGACCAGGCTGCACGACCCTGACTACAGCCCGCAGAGGCTGGCCAGTTTATTTTCAACAATGGAAGGGCATGCACACATGAATACAGACGCAGCCTTTTTTCTTCTATGAGAAACTGTGTACATGATGGGGATGTTAAGATTCACCGATTTGCATCAGTGCACCGGCATAAACGTTCAAGATGCGAGTGCATTGGTTGAAAGAGTACACATCGGCTACAGTTTGGGTTGAACTCGCAATGCATCGATTGTAGCGTGTTTGCATCGGTAAAAAAACAATTCATTCATATAATATCCCCTCATCCTGTCAGCACTCAGCAGAGACAATCTTTGATCTCTGCTTCGCACTACGGAGGCCTAGAGTCTCAGTTATCAACACACATGGAAGTCGAGGAGAAAGAGAAACACAGCGCACCCAAAAATACCTACAAATCAAACACTTCGGACTTTTCAAGAAAGACGGTCAACTTGAAAAATTGCTCGCAAATTGTAAACGATGCTGTGCCGCTTTTAAAGTACACAATTAGTACGAGGAACTTAGCGGCGCACATAAAGAGGCGACATGGGGTCTGCGGCTGAAAAGAGAAACCTGAAAGTTAGACATATGAGTGAAATCAATCAGTGAGGTGTTATGTCAGAGAGAGTGGTGTTTAGTTTACAACAGCCTGTGACTGCCAATCATAGTTTAAATGTCTTCCTTACTGTAAGCAGTTATGATAGAGCTGTTTGTGAAAGGTTATTTGTATTCTTTATTGTTCATAGAGAAACCACTGCTTTCTGCTCACTGGTGAGTTAGCCTATGAATGAGTGTTAAGCACATCAGGCTGGCAGCTATATGGGCATTGCACTGTGGTAGTTGTTATTTGCAAATTGTTAATCATGGGCAACGCATCTTTAAATTGTTTAACTGTGAGGTGTTATACAATTGTACTGTAGTCTGGAGAGTTTTTTAAGGTAAAAAATAAAAAGCATGATGGGATGCGCAGTACTAGTAGAGAGAACCAAATCTGTAAAGCACTTTTTTGTTAATTTATGATTTGCTGCATATAAGGAATAAAACAAAAATCCTCTGTCGTACCATATTGAAGTATCATTATTTTGCATCGTGTTGANCCCCCTCCCTGTGAGCCCAGTGTGCTCTGATTGGTCGGTAAGTTGTGAATCGCGCTGAGCTCCGTGGAGGTGTGATTTCCTTGTTTAGCGATACATAGCCAAACTCAACCTGAACACACACAAAGTCACAGCCGAAATTTAAAAAATGATTGTGGCTTGATATTGAGTAAGAAAAAGGTTTATAGGTTGATAAACGCTGTGGGAATGGTTCTACAGAGAGAATTTCGCCGCGATCCGAACTGTCAGACAGCAGCAGGGAGCAGAAATCAGTGTGTGTGTGTGGATTGGTCAATTTGGACCAATCAGCGGGGGCTTAACGTAACGGCTCCACGGATTGGCCCATTAAGTTACGGGTATGTGCTTTCGTAAGCATGTACCCGGAAGAATCAAATGGATGATGACGTTTCACCAACGAGGCGTTTTGGGGAGGTATTTTCTGTGTTAGAGTTTTACTCGCTACAGGGTGTACTTTAAGGGTTTTGACTCTGCACACCGTTTACATGCAGAAAAACCTTCATAACACACAAGGGGACGGGTAATAACCGGAAAAGCATGACATGGGAGCTTTAAAACAAATGAATAACGACTATATAATCATATAAGAATAAAACACAGAGGACGGAGCCTCTCTTTTCCTCCCCCTCTTCTGACAACCCAGCAGCTGATCTCAAAGCACGCTCCCCTTTCCTGCAGGGGGGCGTGGTCAGCTGCAGCTCATTTGCATTAAAGCTACGTCACAGAATCAACCTTTGAAAAATAGGGCTGGAAAAGAGCAAATAGAGCGAAATGAGGCATGGCTAAAATGCAGGATCTGTTTGGTATTTTGAAAAAAAAACTTCACAGACATGTTTTTATATAG